TATCACAGATGAAGCAATAGAATCCATCCTTGAACTTTTTATATGATGCAGTGTACATACTCTGCCCCAGTTACTAAGGTTTGATATGCTCTTCAAAGAGCCTTTCCCAAGAAAATCACTGCACTGGTTTTAAACTCGGGTGTAAAGTTGCCAGAGAACAATTCTTCCGAGATGAGCTTGCGTTCTTTTCCAAGGAGATTAGCATGTGAGTCTGCCCCCACGTTAAGAAAAGGAATGTGTTTTGTGCTGCCCACAAACTGCAGGATTAGTCAGGAGAGGGACTCCCTACCCCGCCCTGGTGAACAAGGGATAAGGGGTGCTCTCCTTCAGACCTGCTCCTCAGCCTCTTCTCTACCTGAACTCATGTGTAACGACCTGTGACAAAACCTCAGCCTCAGCCTCACACTGGCTGCCACAGGCTTACATATAAATGGTGTGTGCACGCAGAAAAACGAATGCAGAGCCACCTTAAAAAATAATAATCGATGTGCCTTTTACGTATCCTTTCAGGACAGTGTAGTGTTGAGGCATATTTAGGCTCTGCTAAACCGGGATTTAGACATTTGTGAATTAAGATGAGTACATTTATATCATCTTGGTAGAAACTTTAAAATAGTAAGGGGACAGGTTTATTTTCCAGGATTCCTTAGATGTCTTTACTATCATATTTTCAGGACTCATGACCAAGTTAGTAGGAAAATTGCAATTCGCACCCAAAGAGTCTAAAACTTGGAGAGTTTAAAGCAATCCTGGTTTGAAAAGCACACGTTTACACCGGACTGGTAAGAAAAGAAGAGCAGTCCTAGCCCTTGCCTTTTTCATTTCTGCAGTTTCCTTATTGTGAGGGTATAAACTGAGGGTCAAGTTAATGAAAAGCCTAATGTCCCAGGCTTTCTATGGAATGTGATTGGTTGTCATTAACATAATCTAGGCCTATAAGTATTTTATTTTGCATCTAAGCATTTCATTGCAAGTAGGATAAAATGTCCTAATATTCTTTTGACAACCTTAAAAATTTTCAAAGACCTTTTCACGCTCTTGCATTTGTGTTATTAAGAAACTTGCAAAAGCAGATGAATTTCACTAATGAAACACGGAAGTGGCCTGGGTCTCCTTAAAAGGCCTAAACTAGAACTTTAATGACTATAGCATAACCCCATAAATTGTAAGTGAACAACAAAACTTTAGCCCAGCACACAGAAGTCCTGGGTCCCAAAGTGATTGTTTTGACCCTAAAACATTATGTGCCAGCCAAGAAATACCTTGAATTGACAGTTCTAAATGGAGATTTTATTGCAGATATATACAGGTATCTTCTGTGAAGTATTAAAAAAAAAGTATATTTCCTAAAAGTTTCAGTTGTTTACTGTAGCTTATTTGTAGTTTGTTTTCCTTTTTTTTTTTAATATATTTTTATTGATTTTTTACAGAAAGGAAGGGAGAGAGATAGAGAGTTAGAAACATCAATGAGAGAGAAACATCGATCAGCTGCCTCCTGCACATCTCCCACTGGGGATGTGCCCGCAACCCAGGCACATGCCCTTGACCGGAATCGAACCCGGGACCTTTCAGTCCGCAGGCCGACGCTCTATCCACTGAGCCAAACCGGTTTCGGCATGTAGTTTGTTTTCCTTAATTAATTTTCATCGCACTTAATTAATAACTAGTCATGTAAGTGCATTGGATTTCATTTGAACATTTGGATGAAGCAATAAGACCTGCTAATAGAATCTACCTGGGGCACCTTCTCCCGGCTTCATTTTCATCCTAGATGTGCAGGTACTCCTGGCAGCACAGAGCACCCATGAAAAGGTGCTGCTGCCCTCATCAGCTCTGGGAGTACAGTCAGAAATTGTCTATACCAAAGTAATGTGTGCTCATGCTCTATAAGCCTGATTAAAATTTATTTCTTTTACACTGATTCGTAAGCTTGAATTCTGATGATCATACCATCTGATGTTGTTTTCTACACAATAGAAAGAAGTGTGAAGAGAGAGGGAGCGGGGGGTAGATTTTAATATCTATCTACTTGAGATTTTCACTAATAGTCTTACATGTCATTGTAGGTGGGAATAAATCCCTCTCTTCTAACTATAATGCTTTGACTTACAAATAATGACTTGCTCATTCTATGATAAAATTTAATTCAACTTAACAACATGACCCTGTTTCGTATAGATTAAAAGTTGGATTTCTAAAAGGGCACAGATGTCATTTTCTGTTTTCAGGTTTGTCTCTCTCTCTAGATATAAAACTCTATAAACATGAAATAAAATGGGGAAAAAAAGCTTATAGTTTTAAAATACTCAAAAACATCATTTGGAATTGCTTTGATATTACCATTTTAAAATGAAAAAAATAACTTAAAACCATAACTTGCACACAAATAAAATTAATTTTATTTATTTATTTTTCTTCTCACAAAGAATGAAAATTAAGTTACTATAAATATTGTATGAATGGCATTTACAACATAAATCTGCAATCATACACCTTTTCATAATCTGGACTTTCCATTAAAAATTCACATCTAAATTGCTAAAAAACATGTAAGCTCATCCAACATATAATTAGTTAAAAGTTAACTCATTGATTATTTCCTTTCTCTTACACTTGGAGCTTTAAAAAAAGGCAATTTCTGTGATGTTAAGGATACCACCAACTAAAATAAGGATATATACCACAGGCCATAGAAATGTTATTAAAGAACTCCCTGGATAGCTTCTTTTATTTTTACTTTTTAATATAATATACTAAAAAAATTTAAAATAGTTTATTGCACAATAACTGGAATGCATGCATTCTTAAGCAAAACTGCCTTTGCATTTAATGTATTTTTAAAAATAAATATTTGAAAAGTGTATCCACAATGTTCCTAAGAAATGGTTTTGAATTCCTGAGTCCCAAGGAGATGAATTGGCTGTCAGATAACAATGTGCTTCCATCAGATGGACTTGGCAGTTGTAAACAAAAGGAATTTTCTCAGCTTTTCCTCACAAATATGAAATATTTGCTCTCGGCCAACAGCTGGGTGATTTAAAGAAGTCCTGCATATATATTAGTTTTCATTCAAAATTACAAATCCTCCTCCCACTCTGCAACATCTGATCACATCTTAGTAGAACAGAAAATTGTTCCGCGGTGAAGTGACCTTCCCAGGGGCAGTCAAAGTCAAAAACTAGTACCTTCTTACAACTCTAATCAAATTTCAGATCATATGGCATCTGGTTAATAATTTTTAAGAAAAGTTAATTTACTCAAGATGAAAGATTAAATGATACCCTGGAGTGGCTTAAAAAATAATGAGAAAGTTTGATATGTTGTAATGTTTCTAAAAGTTTGATATGTTATAATATTTCTGAAAACGTTTACTATACAACCTAAATAGAAACTGCATGAAAAGCCACTAAGTTTCCCACAATAATTTGAATGTTGTTTAAGAATCAAACATATAGGTTTCCATGTGGTGACTAGTTAAGTTATTCATGAAAAAACTGTTAATATTTAAATGATCATTTAAAATTATGTATTCAACTTACTAAACATTAAAATTATATCGATACTTCTTTTTAAATGAATGCATTAAAATACCTTTTCAAGATACTAGGTATTAGCTATTCATAAAAGTCTATGAAGGAAATCAAAGAATAAATATTTTCAGAGTATTTTTATATATGAAGAATAGGTAATGAACTTACGGACTTCGTTTATAAATTTAATGAAATGATTGCCTTATTCTCATTCCTCTCTCCCTAACAACCTCAAAGTAGTGATTTTAAATGTACTTTTAATTCCAGAATAATATTCCCTATATTGTAAGATTTACCATGGATAAAATTTTATAGTAAAATAAATTAGGCATCTCTGTGTTTAATGTACTTGAGGTGATAAACATGTATCCTATATATTTACAGATATCTTAGAAGTTGACAAGCATTTTTCTATTTAGAGACAGTTACACAGAATTAACTTTTGCCCTTAGGTCCAGTGAATGTGAATGTACAATGCCTAAAACTAACTTAATATTTCATTATTTTAAATAAGCGCTTTATTTTTACCTAAAGTACCTATTAAAGCAGGCATGGAAACATTAAAATAATTCTTGCTACTTCTAAAAAAGTTGTATTTGCCCTTAAAATGCAAATCTACTAAACTTGAATTTTATCAAGACATATGAGAAATGGAATTCATACATCAAATTACAAAGTGTGTAATTTATCCTAATTATTACAGACAGGTGTTTTGTCCTTTGTAGATACACACTGTAGATATAATATAGTAATGGCACTCAGGTAATATATACCAACCCTTAAAATTTTGTGTCTGAAAAAAAAAAAGTATTTTAAAGTCTGAATTCCATTTCCCTTTTTGGAAAAAAAATAACCACCCTTGGAAGATATAATTCTTACTTCCATATCTGTTAATCTTTAAACGATTTTTCCAGCAGAAAATCTTAGAAAGTCACTATAAAATAATGAAATACAATTGTGAATAGAATTAACAATATTCACCGTCAGTGTTAAATATCAGAAAGCAAATCTTTATCATTAAGAATTTAAAATAATTCGTCAACTATCACTGATGACACACAAAGAAACAGCATAGAAATGAAAATACTATTAGCAAAACTTTTCTTTTCTATAATTCAGCATAAATGCAAATAAAATGACCACCTTTCTTCCTACATAAGCAAATAAAACAAACTAGATGAACAATAAGAAAACCATGTACATCTCAAAGTACCAAAGCAGTGCTTATCAAGGGAGAAAATGTTTCAGGAAAGTAAGTCTGTATTTTTAGCTTTATTTCAAGTTAGTCCTATTTATGCAAAAAAAAAGGGGGTCTTTTTTTTTAAATGAGTCTGAAAGCCACTTATTCAACCTCTTGTTTCTATAAACTTTCAAAGACTAAGACATGAAATTAAAGGCAGGGACTTTGAAATTCAAGTATTTTTAAAAACACAGTTATGTTGTCATAAGTTTGGAATTGAAAATACTTACAGTCTCTCCAGTTCTTTAAGATCCTGGAATGCTCCTCTTTCAATGGTGCTGATCTTGTTCTCCATGAGCTGACTGAAATGCAAAATATAGCAGGAGTCTTAATGTTAGCCCTCACCGTCAGAATAAGTTTCAATTTAGCAACTAAAATGTGAAACTTCTTTCTCTTTCTCTTCATGAAGTTAAATTTTGCTCTGGTTTGAGATTTAATATCAAATTCAATGATGATATCTTTGAGACAAGTCAGGGAGGAGAAATAGCATCCACACCCCAAAACTTTCAGTAAAAAATCCTAACAGTGACATGAAATTCCCTGGCCAAAACTCTTCACCTTAAAGCATAGTATTTTCTGGAAAACAACCTATGGCACTGCAGCTCTGATGGATGTTTTTCAGTAAACTGACTTTCAACGGAGGTCTTAACTAAGAGGATAAATATATAATAATTCATATACACATAGTTCAGTTAACTTAAGGATATGCATCAGAAATTGGACGCATTCATAATGTTCAGGTGTGTCTTTTAAAAGAAGAACACTGAACACACAATGATCCAAGTATATGTTCACTGTGATGGAAATATTTACAAACCTGAGGGGAAAAGAATTTTACATTATATTGAACCTCAAATGATGTTTCACTCAGAACTAATTTAACTCACTAATGAAAGAAGTAATTCAATTACAAGAATTTTATAAAAGCTACAGAGATATAAAATATAAGAATTAAAAATATGACCAGTGTACTTTCATAAAAAAAATGTCCCATCATAAACTCTGTAGAAAGCTGGATTGTTTGATTTTAATTTTAGAAATTACATGCGTGTTGTTTGATAGAACAGGCTAAACATTTCTATATTAGTAGTAAAAATGCAGACCCACTTAAATTATTTCTAGTAAATCTGAAATCCTAAAAGTGCATCAAATGTCTCACATTACTTATTCATATTGTGAAAGTAATTATTCTACATTTTTATATGTCTAAGGCACTCAGGGTATGGCATTGCAAACACTTGAGGCCATTTCCACAGTACTGTTTCTATGGCCTGCATCCAACCTTAAAATAAAAGCCTACATTTTAATAAAAGTTGTAGTACAGTGATAAACTAACAAAGAAAGAAAACCAAGACCTTGTAAATGTTTATGTTTTTGTTATTGGGACAGTTTTTAATATTGAGACCAGTAACAATTCAAAATATGCAAGCTTAAAAAAAAAGAAAGAAAATTATTCAAAACGCAGAAGAACGTACTTACAGAACTCTTAGATGTCTAAGGCCGGCAAAATCCATTTTGGTAATCCGTGTGATGTTATTTCCATTCAAATCCCTGAGAGAAAACAAAACAGAAAATGAAAGTCCCACTTTATTTCTATCAATAGCTAGTTAAAAATTAAAAACATAAACTAAATAAGAACTTGAAGTTAAAGATCAGTTCCAATGACTAAAGCAGTTTACAAAGTAAAAGAGATAAAGGGGCAACCTTTGTAGGAATTTTTTGAAATGATCATCAACAAGTTTACAGAGTCCCTACTTGCTGGCATGAGACATGAAAATGGATTATCTTGTCACAAAAGTGCTCTTTTTTTGCATGTATAGGAGTGCTTTCAATTTTCGTTTATTAGTTTTATATTTTTTAATCATTTTTTTTATTTTTCAAGTATAGTTGACATTCAGTGTTATAGTAGTTTCAGGTGTATGCTCCAGTGATTAGAGATTGTTTAACTTACTATGTGATCATTCTGGTAAATCTCACACCCATCTGACACCATACACAGTTATTAGAATATCATGGATTCTGCTATGCTTTACAGCCTCATATAATCAAGTTGTACTTCTTAATCCCTTCACCTCTTGTCACCCATTCCCCAAACCCCTCTCAACTAGCCACCATCAAATGTTCTCTGTATCTATCAGCCTATTTCTGTTCTGCTTGCTCACTTATTTTGTTCTTAGATTCAATTGTGGATAGATATGTATCTATTGCCATTTTATTATTCATATTTTTAATCTTTTTTTTCTTCTTAAAGAAGACCTTTTAACATTTCATGTAATAGTAGTTTGGTGGTAATAAACTCCTTTAACTTTTTCTTGTCTGGGAATCTATTTATAAGTTCTTCTATTCTAAATGATAGCTTCCCTAACCTGGTGAAGGAACTAGACATACAAATCCAGGAAGTGCAGACAGTCCCAAAGAAGATGAACCCAAAGAGGTCCACACCAAGGCACATCATAATTAAAATGCAAAAGGTTAAAGACAAACAGAAAATGTTAAAAGCAGCAAGAGAAAAACAGTTATCTACAAGGGCGGGCCCATAAGACTGTCAGCTGATTTCTCAATAGAAACTTTGCAGGACATAAGGGAGTGGCAAGAAATATTCAAAGTGATAAAAAGCAAGGACCTACAATCAAGATTACTCATCTTTTGTTTGTATAAGGATATGTGTATTAACTTCACAGGAATTCTGCTATTATTGTTAGGCACATCCCCAAAAAAGTTCCCTTCAAAAAGTTAAAGGAACAATATTTTAATACTACTCTCAAAGAAATTTTAAATATCCCAAATTCTCTCGTGAGGTGGCAGGGTGGCTGAACTTCCTAAGGCAAAGAAGAAAGTGCCATCAAAAGACCTGAACTTCAAAGACTTGCATTTATAGGCATTTACCTTCCAACAATTTTATGTTTGTATGAAAACTAAACTCTTTTGCAGCTTAGGGAGCCCCGTCTCCCCCTCCTGCCCCCCCCCACCCCCTGCTGTGGCTGAAAAGTGAAAACTACTAGCTGGGACAATAATGCAAATAGTATTCAGGCCCTGACGTTCTTTTTGCTCAGATTTCAGCACCAAGTTTCCTTCAAGAGTCACACAACCCCTTCTCTGGCATCTTAGGTCAAGATCTAAACTTGCCCTGGTTCCAATCATGTCAAGTAAAACCAGGCTTCGCTGTGGTTTGAACATTCTCCTTCACGGAAGTAAGCTTTCTCTTACTTTGACTTTATAAGATTGTGTTTGAAATCTATATTTAATCAGTCAATGATAGAATTGTATACACCATCACTGAGTAAACTATTTTCTGAAAATTCTATACTAGTAGATTCCTCATAGGGATTTTTTTTCCCCAAAGACCTAAAACTCATTAGTACTTAAACTTAAAACTGTTCTGAATAGCATGACATGCCAAGTGCTGAAACAGAATTCTGCATTGTTTTCTCCCCAACCCACTCTCCACATCAGCTGAGCAAAGTACCATCAAGTTGTCCCTACAATTACTGAGGTCTTCACTGGCTAGTTGACATAATACAATGCCCTACTCCCAACCCTGGACAAATGTGGTGGTTCACATTTTAATAAGACACCCTTAATAAGGCGCCAACTTACCCAGCACTGAGGGAAGGAGTGAGGCTGGGATGGGGGAGCCATTTGCAAAGAATCAAGGTGTTCAACTCTGGCCTTTAAACTGTGGGCCAGGCAAGTGGATTAGATAAGTTCAATTTGGTTTACGTGCTGAGTGAGGGCCCTGCTAGTGGAGACGTGCAGATTGGAGCAAGTCCTCTCTGCAGCGTGCAACCCTCACATCCTAGGGCGTAGAGGCCTGGAAGCTAAGTCGGGAGCGCTGGCCCTGGCTGTTCTTGTCCCGCACCCACCCTGACCACCGGGCCCACGGGAAATGGCGAGTGGAGTGCGCCCAGGGCGCTTGGGCAGCGCCCAGCACTGCCCACTGTGATCACAAAGAGAACGGCCTCCATGCTCCACTTCCCTGAACTCAAGGAGTGTCCCACCAGCAGCGCGTGGGCCGGCCATCAACACCGGCGCTGAGATTACTTCTTCATTAGAGGCTCGCAGAGACAAGGAGGCGGGGATGTCTGCGGGCAGTGGAGCGCGAAGAGGGGAAGGCAGGGGAGCTGCTGCCAGAAGGAGGGACACAGAAACTGCCAGAAAGGTGGACGGGAGCACTAGGGCCCCGCCGAAAGGGCTGGAGGGGGCAGCCAAGGGCTGCAAAGTCCACTGAACAGTGAGACCTGACTGGGCTGGGCTGGGTCTGGTTAGAGAGGCAGCCCTAACTTCGCCTAAGGTTGGGAAGTGGACCGCTTCTGCAGTCGCCTCTGGGACAAGTCCCTAGGGCCCGCCACAGCCTGCTTTTCCCAAGGGGCGGGGGGCGGGAAACAGGACAGGAAGTCGCGCGTGGCCACAGCTTCCCGGGGCATCCTTCCCTCCGTGACTCTTGGGTGGATCCAGACGCCTCAGGATCCCTTCTCCCCTCCCTGCCGACCCAGGAGGGCTACACAAAGCCAAGGAGTGGAGGTTTCTTCTTTTGAGTCCCCCCGCCAGTCCCTGCGCCACCCCGCGGCGACCAGAGTGGGGACTCGGCCTGGAAACTGCCCCGCAAGTCTTGGCAACGCAAGGTGACTCCATTGACTGAGTCTGGGGAGCAAAGTCCCCTCTTCCTTGCCCCGAGCACCCGCGATTACTTGTCCTCCATCGATCTCCTTGCCGCCCCAGGCCAGAGAACTGGACCGCACAGGTCTACGTGCGTCAGGACAAGAGCGGGAAGAAGGGACCCAGCGCAGCTGCCAACAGTCCCGCCCCTCCCTGGGCAGTGCCCTTCTGTCCTTCGCCCTCCCAAAGCCTCCAACCTCAGGGTGCGCGTGCAGAAGAGCTGGTGGGGGCTGCCCCAGGCACAGGGACCGGTGCCGCTAAGTCCTTCCAGTCTCCATGCTTGAGGCACACGACCCTGATGGGGCAGGGGGGGGGGGGGGGAGGCGGGGGACCGAAAAAAACCCCTACTCACAGCTCTCGGTGTTGCGGGGGATGTTCCTGGGCCCCCTGCGCAGCGCCAGTCCGTGACAGTCCACCGTGCTGCCCGAGCAGGAGCACTGCGCCGGACACGCCTGAGACGCCACCTCGTTCAGGATCGCCAGCGCCAAGCCCAGAGCCAGGGACAGCGTCTGCCAGCCGCCGCCGCGCATCTTCCCCCGCCGCCGCCTCCTCGCTCGCCAGTGCCGGTGGTTCCTCTACCGCACGCTGCTGGGCGCCCAACGCGCTGGGGCTGAGGCCCAGGGTCTGGTGCAGGGCTAGCAGCCCAGAGTGTCGGGGTCGATGTGCACGAAATAAGGCGGACGTAACAGTTCTAATATTCAAGGTAGAAGAGCTTGACACAGGTACCCGCCTCCCACCTCCCCTCCACCCTACTCCAGCGGGGCGGGCGCTCCTTGAAGAACTTTAGGTCCTGAAGATGAATCGGTCTGGCTGAGGCTGTTCGAAGACCCCGGAGAAGCCGGGAGGAGATCACGAGTCGCCAAGTCCAACTTGGTGGGAAAGAACTGGGCTCTCAATAGCCGCGAAGATGCAAGAGCCCGTGGCGCGGGGAATGGGCCTGCTCGGGTTCCACCACCTCCTCTGCGAATCCGATTCCGGCGGGGAGGCTCCGAGGCAGAAGAGGGAGGCTCAATAGGAACGCTGTCCTTGATGAAAGTGGGCTCCCTGGAGCTAGAAGGCGCAGGAGCCCCGTGGGCCAGGAACCGTGCGTGCAGGGCCACTGGGCATGGCGCGCTGGGGCGCACAGGCGGGCGCACAGCCAGGGGGCGCGGGGAGCTGCTCCCGGAGACCAGCGCGGCTCCTCGGCGGCAGGGGCTAGTCCTCGCTGTCTCCCGACAGCCAACGTTCAGGGCGGTTTGCAAAAACACATGCACTTCGCGGAAGGCTGCCTCCGCAATCCCGCCTCCCGCCGGGCGTCCTAGGCGATGCTTGGCACTCGGCCTGCCCGGAGTTCAAACAGAAAAGACAAAAGGCACTGGGGCCGCAGCAGCCGGCGGTAATATCCACTAGTCACGACCCTGGCAGAGGAAATCCAAGAGGCCAAGTTGAGGACGAGAGCTCCTAGGAGGACTGCTGGCAGGGCAGCCTGAAGGAGTGGAAAGGCCAAGGTGGAGGTGTCCGCGTCCTGGGTCCTGCGGGGGTGTCCGGGGGGGGGGGGGGATGGCGTGGTGGCAGTTGGCCGGTGGGCGCCCAGGGGGGAGCGGAATGGCAGTCCCTCGTGCGCGCCGGTGCCGGCCCCTCTGGTCTCCCGGAGACCGCGCAGTTCCCCGGCAAAAAACCTTATGGCAAAGGTGGAAGGGAAACAGAGCGGGCTCCCGGGGGGGGGGGAGCCCCCCTTTTCCCCCTTGGGGGGGGGCCCAAAAGGGGGTCTCCCCTTTTTCCCAGGGGGGGAAATTTTTCCAAGGTTCAAGAGCCCCTCCCGCCGGGGACAAGGGGGGGAGTCTTTTTGGCGGTTTGGGGACCCCCGGTTCCCGGGGTTTATATTAAAAGGGGGGGGCGG